GGAGCATAATAACTGATTTAACTACACCAAGATTTCTGGCTTGATTTGTGGTTCTTAACATTACAGATTGAAGTCGAGTACTGACTTTCAATCGTTCCTCCCTGGCTCCAAAAACAATAACTTCAGTTTTATCTTTGTTTAATTGGAAAATTCTGGCACATCCAGTCTTTAAATCAGTAAACCCAATAGCAATAGCCTTAGAGGGCGTAGCCTCCTGACATGGTCATCTCACATCTCGTTCTCAAGACCTCTCGCTCATGAAGAAAGCTCAGAAATGCTAAGTTCTCGTCAGCTTTTACAGAGGAAAGCATCCTGACTGGAAATATCACTAACATGGGATGTGCACGGCCCAGGACCGGAGGGCTCTGCAGCGGGTGATTAAAACTTCTCAGAAGATCATTGTTACCCATCTCCTGAGCATCAGTGATATCAGTGAGGTGAGGTGCCTACGGACAGTACCCACCCAGCCACAGCCTTTTCACCCTGCTGCCTTCTGGGAAGAGATATAGAGGTTTGTGCTGCCACACCACCAGACTGCAGAGCAGCTCATCACACTCTTAAACTCTAATTCATCCTCAGCACTGCTCCAGTGATGATAGTTTATTTCTGTTTACCATTTTTATAATTTCCTCTATATTAATGTATATTGTCTGCTACATAGCAGAAGGTCTGAGATTCACTCTACAACCTGTTGTATTGTGACAAATAAATGTACCTAACTGAAGAGCGGAACCTTCAGGGCAGAAGCAACAGCCTGGGCTGAGATAGCCAGAGTGAGGACGGCCAGGAGAGTGGTGGAGAAAGGAGGAAACAATGACGGCAGCGGAGCGAGCGAGAGGAGAGGGAAGTCAGAGCGACGAAGTTAACCGGGGTAGGACTTGCAATTTAAAATAAAAATTATTTTATTAAGCATGATAAATATTATATAATTAGTGAACAAAATGTATCATCTGCAATAAAATGTAGATCACAAACGTTCTACGTTGTCTAAAGACATATTAGCTGCCTCGGGCGCCGGACTCTTCACCCGTTGACTGTTACTACAAGTTGGACATGCACAGTTCGCTCCTCTTCATTACAAGACATAGGAGCTTAATTTAAGGGAAGATCTAAGACAGTACAGAATTTACTCCTTGGTGGTATGCTCCCCTCTTTTGAGGGAGTGCATCATTGACGAAATCGTGAGTGCAGACTTTGTCTCCATGAAAAAACAGGCATTTCCACACAGTGTCAATGGTTCAAGTGTCATGAAAGGAGCTACAGGTGGTCTATAGTTGGAAGATGTCATGTGAAGGCCACAGCTATATGCTCACCAACATAATCTCCTCATGCAGCAGGTGGCATCTCACAGCTCGAGAGTTAGTCAGCTCTTCTCTGACCAGGCTGGATTCTCTTACTTTCTTTTTCAAGATTTCCCAAGAAAACCAGCATCCTCATAGAGTGGTAGCACACAGACTCCTAAGAGCAAGCACAGCAAGATGGAACTTCCACAGCCGTGCTGTGAACACTGTGTGTTTTGGAAGCATCATGATCTTACCACTATGCAAGAAGCTGGAGGGTTTGTGAGACTGCTGGTGTATGATCATTTCAGCTTCCATCGCATCATGCTTCATGTCATGCCAGCACAAAAAGCGAACCATTGACTCAGTCTTTGTTCAGTGAATCATGCAGTAATTCATAGACGATATGCAAAACATCAGGTAAATGAATATATCCATTATGCTGTTTAATATTCGCATCTAAAATGACCATCAGTGATGAGGCAACATTAGGCAACATGTGTAGTAGTGTTTATAGATTTAACCCCCCTCCCCCCCTTTCACCACACACCACTGATGGCTATATATAATGATACTAACAATTAACAATGCCTGATATTTTCAGTCAGCACTTGGCCTAAATGCTTGCAGCTTTGAATGTTTCTTTGCAGCAAGAGTCCCAATCAGACCTCTCTTTTAGGCATGCACAACCATTTTTTTCAGTTAATCAGTAACGGATGTCATTTTAAGTACAATACTTCAAACAAAACATACTTCAGGAAAAGTAAAATTACAGATTATAAAAACTACTTATTAAAATACTACTCAATTACAGTAAAGTGAGTAATTGTAATTTGTTACTTTCTACCTCTGCTTAAAACAGTTGAGTGTAAGTGTATAAATCTTGGACAATACCTTTCTTTTTCTCTGTTACATTCATTACCTCCATTAGCACGTCATGGCAGCTCATCAGGCTGAAAATGGGTGAAGCTTCTTGTCACAGAAAGCCCTCACCATAACCCTTTCTAAAGCAGGCCAATAGGGAATGACATATGTGCTGCTGGAAATGGGGCAGGAGGATCACTCCTGGCCAGTAACTCATTAGTTAGTCATCTCAATGACACTGAGCAAAGTGGCTAGGGCTGTGTGCTCCTACTGATTAGCATAGCCTTCTTTTCCTGGCCCTCCTCCTTTAAGAAATTGAGTCACAAAACTAAACTCCAAAATATTCCTGCTGTAACTCACTACCCAAGTCTGTGTCCCTCCTCTTAGAGCACATTGGATTGGTTTGATGTGAAATGTTTCCCTTGAGTCCCCTTTTGCCTTATCGTCCCTCTGTTTGCTCTCTAAGACAAACCTATTTTAAACCGCTGCCTCTTGTCAGAAAAAGTTAGTATGTGATGCCCAAGGCTCGCCAGCAATGCCGTCCGGCTCCCCTGATAGTTTCTAGAAGTGACAGTGAGCGTCTTGTGTTTTATTAGTGCTGGTGCAGAAGGAAACTAGCATCTGTGTCAGACCCCTGGCTCAGGTGTCAATCAGACACATAAAGCATGCACCTGCCTGCCTGGGGCCCCTCTGAAAGCAGGCTAAATGAGAGACAGGACAGCAACAAATAAAATGTTTTATCCCAGCCGCTGTCGTGTCCCGCTTTGGCACATATTTGTGTTGTGCCATAAAAACCTGTTGCCTCTCATTTAGCAGAGAGGTTTGTGGGACAGAGAAGCAAACAAGCATGTGTGATGAGGTCTGACAGCTGCCGACAGAGATGGAGATTTCTGCCTCAATGGCATAGAGGGTTTACCTTCAGACCTCTGACTTGTATGTTCTGTGAAATGTCACCTATTAAAAGGCATTTAACTCAGTGTTAAGAGCCTTTTAAATGACATTAAATCTAATCTTGTTTGTTTTAAGATATTTACACTTTTAGCTAGTCCGTATGCTAGTATGTTTGTGCTGTGCTCTCTCGCTATCTGTCTATCTATCACAAAGCAGATGAACATGTCATATAAATACAAAATATTAACAAAAGCACACAACTTAGAACAATTTGAAATGTTCAAATTATAAATAGAAATATTTAAGGTCCTTAAAATATGATTCCAAATCTAAAGTATCTCTCTAGAAATGTAATAATATAATAATAATAATATTCATGACTAAATAAGCAACAATTAAGTTTTATATTTACTGATTATTGATTAAGAGTTTAACATTGACATAAACTCATCAGGACTGTGTGGCTCTGATCAGATTTGATCAACAGTGACCAAACAACCCACCAACTGTCATTAGATTCTGATTCAAATGTTGATGACGTGACGTGATATCGCAATTTCTCAACTGAGCCATTTCCATTTCAAATCAGTGAGACAGGCACAGATAGTTATGTAGTTATAGTTGCCTGAAGAGGTAGCACATATGTACATATGTCACCCATTCCGTGAAGAGCTGAGAGATGGCAGAGCGTGAACCCGTTCTTTTTTCTACCTAGTTTGGGCTAATGGGACTGAAGTAAAGCAGAAGGAAAGATCTGAAATTCTGGATGTAAGGGATGTTCAAACTACATTACGTTCATACTGCTAATTTGTTCTGACAAATACTCTTTGCCCAGGGAGCCAGTTGATGTTAAACTAAACTGTAGCAAGTAATTGGATCAAGAAACAATTACATCTCAACTTATGATGAATGGTTAAAACTATGAGATATAGCAGTTATTTTTAGATGATAGATGGTTTTGCCAGTTTTTGCACATCACCTGCTGAGACCTGAAGCAAACCCACGGTGCTTTCTTTTTAATACAGATATTAGACAGCCCATATTTTGATTAAATGGTAATACATTTAGAATTTACATTTTTCTGTTACAGAGTCTGACTTCTGACCTCTGGCTCCCTGTGTAGACTGAAGGGATTTTTTTAACTTTAGTTATTCACTTATTTTGTTTACAATAAAACCATAAATCTGCCCTTCCAAACATGTACACTGGATTGCCTGTGGGAGAATGTGATGGTATCCTGTGACTACACTGTGTTATGCAACTTAATTTCCATGAATGTGCCATCTTTTGGTAGGAAGGAGAATGACAGGCTCTGTCCCTGGTGCTGAAATATTAATGTGCAGTGCCACAGGTGGGCATTTCGATCCCAGCTCATCCTGTCTACGTATCAGCCCGTGAAAATTTGGACTGATATTAGAATGTTTAATAAGATTATTCCCATGCAAGTTTGAGAAGACTGAAGACAGACAAGCTGAGACAAAACATCATCTCAACATTTATCAGAGAGGAAGGGATCACTGTCCACCATTGATTTGTCCCACACACACACAGACTGGCTCTGTCTCTGTCTGTCTGACTTGCTCTCTCTCTCACACAGTGTATGCTTTACTCCTCTCGGGTGAAAGAAGTATGCAGATTCTTAAAGGTACAAGTAGAACAATGTAAACAAATTGATTTTTACTTTGTTGTTAACATGATGATTTTACTCAGTGGACTCTACTAATAAAAGTCCTGCATTTAATCTCCCACTTGTGTAAAAGTGCAGAAATGTTAAAAAGCTGTGAAATTATATTTTCCCTTCGAAAGATTTGCCTGTGGGCCTGCTGTGAAGATTTTCTGTTTATTCCCTTATACCTACATCCAGGAGAGCAATCTGATGTTTATATCACTTGATAGTTGGCCTCAGCTCCACTCTGACTACACCCTGGTGGTCTTACTTACAGCCCACTTAAGTCCGACACCACCTTAGAAAACATAATCATTTATTGAAATAATTAACCAACATTTATACCAGGATATGAAGACATATAAACATTTTTTTCAACACCGGATGGACAGTTAATTGTAGTCTACAGGGTTCACTGATTTTCATTTCTTTTTGAATAAATATATATAGTGCATACATATGTATAGACTGTATCTTTATGAGAAACACTTTCAACCAAGAATAGCAACAGCTCATACAGCAAAGCCCTCGGTTATTAAGGCCTTTTTCAGTTCCCTTTCAGTACACCTCTACAGAACCATGAATAACCTCAACTCAACAAAATGCACAAAAAGAAAACGCAACAACACCTGCACTGCAAATACAGACTGGGATTCCATCTTGTGAGGGCAATTCAACGGGGGAAATAACTCTGAGCTTATTATATTTCTATACTTTTGATCAAATTATTTGATCATAATAATTTAACTTATTTGCAAAGGAGAACAAACCGTTTCAGAAGGGTCCTTGAACATAGTGGAGAGGTACTTTTTGTTTGTTAAAGAAAATCAGCAAACATTGTGGAAATAAGTGAAATGATTTCATTCCTGCCTGCAGGCAAAAAAGAATCATCCAGACTTCGTTGCAGGATGGCATCTTCCTCTTTTCGGTCTGATCTAAGCTGTTGATTATATTAAAAAGAACTTTACTTCTTTTATCACAGATCTGGGATGTACTGGTGCAATCCCATATTAGTCCGGGTACAAAAGGAAACCGGAAAACGTGCTGTATTTGTTATTGTTCCCGCCGTGCGCCTTGCCGCCGTCCAGTTTCACATAAATTTCATCACCGGAGTCCAGATGCAGGACGACGCTGTTGCTGGCGTAGTCATAGTTCTGGTCGGCGTCCTGTGCTATGGCACTGGCTCGGACCTGCAGAAAGAGAGAGAAGAGACAGAGAGAGCTTTGACCCAGCGGCAGACTACCTGTCCCCTTGCAGCCGGACGCACATGTTTCATTTACAGCAGCCTGTAATAACTAATCATAATATCATAAAACTTTTGACATTTATTAAGTCACATTTCACGATAAAGCGCGAGCATTCAGCATGTTACATTTCCTGAATAAAGAACCACCATCCACAGCACAGTCATGAATTTTGAGATTCTTTTTTTAGTAGGCTACGTAATTGTGCTCTGGCTCTGAGTCAAGAACCTTAATTTATTGGTTTAATAAGCACGTGCACGTGCCGCAGGATACAGAGAGAACATTTAGGCTACCTGTCCGTTTTTGCATAAGTCTGCCCACATGCTCGTCCCGTCTCCACCGCGCATCAGCACATGATAGGTGAAGTAGTAAATCCCAGACACCTGGCATGTGAACTTGCCGGTCGTCGGGTCGTAGTGCTTCCCCAGGTTAGTTACAACGTCGTCGAACCTTAACACTTCGTATCCCTCGTGAGGGTTTTTCAGACCCACATAAAAGGCTATCTTTGCCCTGCCAATAGCAGAGCTCAGATCATCGCCGGTCTCGGTCCGCGCTGTGCCTACTACCCCGGGATACCCCGTCTTTCCTGAATCTCCTCTATCCCCCGGCGGCCCTCTCGGACCGGGAGGACCCGGTTCGCCTGGCGGGCCCCTGGGCCCGGGTTTCCCCGGCCGACCCGGCTCGCCTTTAGTCCCTTGAACAAAGGTCGTAGAAGGCATGGCGCTCAGGTCTTGCATGACCTCCAGAGCCGTGGCGCTCGGTTTGGGGTTGTACGGGTCACATATCATCCGACAGGTGCCCATCATCTCGTAGTGCGCATCGGTCTTTGAAGTTTGGACCAGCAGGGGAATCGCGATGATGAGAGCCAAAACCATGACGATACCAACCGCAGCGGCGACGATTCTCTTTCTCTGTTGAGTCCGAGAAGCAAGCGCTAAAAAGTCCGTTTTGCTGGGGGACGTAATGGTGGAAGGTGGTGAGCGCACTAAAAGCCACGGCAGAAAGAGGGGACGAAAACGGAGTCACTCAGCCCCGCAATTAAGGCAAGAAAGAGGAGAGAGAAACAAACGCATGAAAGCAGTCCAGCCTGCAGCGTAGCGCCCTGCCACTGTCACTTGGCTTTACGCACTTGACGGGGAGTATTTGATTTGGCATGGCTGGACGCGCAGCAGAAGGAGGCTTCCAGCGGGTTTTGTTCGTTTGCAACAAGCAAGAGGGGAATCGAGAGCTGCTGACGTAGCAAGTTGAGGACAACGCCTGTTGCAATTTGGATTAAGACTGCAACATAATGATGCAATCTTTATGTATGAAGTATAAATCCCTCTGCATAGCCTCAAGGGAACAGGATCAGGAAGCATTACTAACACTAGCAGTGTCAGACATGTCCTCTTTTGTCGCCTTCCCTTTTTCTTTTTTCTTTTTTAGAAAAATCTAAGTATGGTTTTGAGAAGAGGGTCTAAATAGATTCATTTAGATCAGTGGTTCTCAATCTTTTTTGGGCGAGCACCCCCTAATCATTATCCATGTCCCTTACCGCCCCCCATCAAAAGGGATGTAGGCTATTTGGCCTGAATATTGTTGATTATAAATTTTGTTGTTGTTACTATTGTTATTAAAACATTTACTAATTTAATGACAAACAACATATTGTTGGAAATGTTTTATTTATATAAAGGGAAAAATAAAATTTAGGCAGCAGATGACAATTTAAAATCTATAAATATTTTAGACTATAGTGTAGTGAGGTCTATATTTCTCGTGTAGTTAAACTTATTTAATATTATTCCTGCTGAGTCAACACACATGATTTAGGCCTACCTCCTCTTTTGTGTCTTTGTTTGGGTAAGTGTTACGACCCCATGTTGGTCTAGGGGAGTGGGGGTCATAAACATATGACTAGGCACAACTCGTATAGATCTTAAAAAGGTAACTTTTATTGGTAACACGGAGATGCAGACAGGTAACAATAAACAAAAGGAGGGTGGATGAGGGTGCTGTGAAAATAACAAACCAAGTTAAAATAAAAAGGTCCCCAAAAGGAGGCCTGTACCTATCTATCTATTTAAGCAGAGTCGATTCTTGCTACAAAAGAACACAAAGAGCACAGCACCCACTCCACCTGATGAAAACTAACGCAATTGTAAACAAAAATACTAAGTGAATTTCTCCACTGCGCACAATGCAGAGCTAACAATCGAGGCATGCAAATTGTTTCACTAAACACAATGTACAGCTAACAAGCTAGGTATGTGGATTGTTCCACTAAACACAAAGTACAGCTAACAAGCAAAGTATGCAGTCAATACCAGCGGCACACAAGTCAATAGGCAGTGACAAGCTGCCTGGAGCAACAGGTGGACTCTCCTTATGAGCAGGAGGTAATCAATGTGGTGACCAGCCATTGGTTGAGTGGAAACAGAGGGAACCAATGGGTGGGATTGATGTCAGCACCCCAGAAACCAGGAAGTAGGCGGGGCTTCATTCCACAGGGACACAACCTACTTGGTAGAGGTGAGACAGAAAAGGGGAAACACAAAGGTGACAGTGACAGCCGTGACAGGAAATGTTTTATTTATATAAAGGGAAAAATAAAATTTAGGCGGCAGATGACAATTTAAAATCTATAAATATATTAGACTATAGTGTAGTGAGGTCTATATTTCTCGCGTAGTTCAACTTATTTAATATTATCCCTGCTGAGTCAACACACATGATTTAGGCCTACCTCCTCTTTTGTGTCTTTGTTTGGGTAAGTAACCTCTTTAAATGTGATTGTGGCACCTTTTCACCTCAGTGATAATTAATTCATTTTAATTCAGTTATTGACTGCACTTTAATAGCTCCTGTGTTTCATTTTCTTCTCATGTTCAAACTATTCTGCACATTCCGAATCTCTTCCACATATGTGTTGTCTGACATGTTGAGATAAAAGTCACAATATTATTGACTAACGTCATCATGTAATGAGAATATTTTTACTACTGTGGTGTCCGAACAATAATGCTGCAATGATGTGTTGAGAAGAAATCCACTTGACACTGTTCTTGATCATAAAAGTTTATTGAATCAAGGAGTTCAGCGTCAATTACAAGCTCAGCAGCATGATGGCCACTCTGTCTCTCTGTACATCAAACATAGCTTATATAGGATATGTTTAGTATCTGTTAGGTACCAAAGCAGGGTTTGAGTCTGCAAAATAAAAGGTCAAACCCATAGAAAGTTCTATTCTGAGGTAACAAAACAAGGGGTTAGAAGTCAAATTCTATAGAAGAGTTCAGTCCCTACATAACCACCAATCACTACTCTCCCCGTAGAAGGTCACTGACCCTCTGTCCTGCTGATACAGTGCTATTTTGAACTGTTATGAGTCAAATGCACAAATATTGGACACTACACTACCCCCCTCTGCTGTGCATTACGTCATTGCTTCACTGGTGGTATCCCCTTTGACTGTCTCACCGACACAGAAATGGATGAGACGAGGAGGTGTTCATGCCGGGACAAAACAAAACTAACTGACAACACCTGTGACCGGGCAGAAATCTCACCACAAATACACACACATGTTAAAGGTTCAGTGTGTAATATTTCTGAGGATCTATTGAGAAATGCAATATAAGATCCATAACTATGTTTTCAGTGGTGTATAAAGACCTTACATAATGAACTGTTATGTTTTTATTACCTTAGAATGAGCCATTTCTATCTACATAACAGCAGGCACCCTTTACATGGAGGTCGCCATGTCGCCTCGCCATGTTTCTACAGTAGCCCAAAATGGACAAACAGCGCTACAGAGCGCATTTCGTCATTACGTTGTTGTTCTCCTTCTTGTATAATTCCGGCAGTGTCACTACATTGAATGCGTACAAAGAACAAGAAGAGGAAATAATAATAATAATGTACAGTTTCTAAGTAGTCATCTGTTGTTTTAACACGTATTATTTAGCATGAGCCAACAGAGCGTGAATCTTTGTCGTCAAAGAAGTGAAGTTTGTATCTTTACATGAATATATATAGATTTGAATTAATATGCATTTGTGACATTGTGCATTTTGTCTTGACAAAATGTATGTAGTAATCACAGCTAGTCTTCTTAGGTACACACACACACAACAAACCTCAGTATAAAAAATTATTGTGAAGCGGGAGGAGCCTGAAGGAGCCTCCTTGACTCCAACTTCCCTTCCTGTTCTGTTGGTCTGGAAACCCCTTGCATTTCAAACGAGGAACATGTGGATCAAATTCAAGGTAAGAAAACAGTTAGCAAAGTGGTTAGCTACATTACTACAGTCTTTACAGTTTTATAATTGCACAAAAATGAGGCTTTACGTGTAATTTGAAGATAATGTTGTTATCCGGGATTTAAACTGGAAGCTGGAGTAATGTAACTAAATTACTGTGACCATGTGGCTAAAAATTACTTCTATGCCATTCAAAGCTTAAGCTGGTAGGTGGCTTTAGTTGCTTCATGTGTAACTGAAACTCTGCAAGTAACGATAAAATAGTTGGTTCTAGTGTAAAATTAATTTGAAGCTAACATTAACATGCAGCTATAAAATAAGGCATGTAGTGTAAGCTAATATAGGCACTTGGATATTTAGAGCAGCTTCAGTAATGTCTTAGGGTACTCTCACACACACATTTCTTGACTTAAATGCCAACAATGCTCAAAATTACCACAGCAACAACATAATCCCACCCAGACTTCTGTTCAGAGGGAGAGCAAAGAGATATATGTGTTCTTAACATTAGCAAAAAAAGTAGGTTTAATTCTCTTTGTTATATTTCACAGGTTTGTGATGACAACGATGCTTCAGCCATCCAAGAGGCCCTCTTTTCATTTGCACTCAACATATTTGTGGTCAAGAAAAATCAAGGAGGGAGGTCTTAAAAAGCAAGCTGGAATAGCCATCGCAGGAGCAATGGTCCTTTTTGGTATTCCCATTGTTGCACAGGCACCTTTCACCTACCTAATGGGCCTTTTAAGGTTTTCAGGAGATCTTCGTGGAGCTGGAGGATGGGAACCAAAGAATGTTCCCCAAAGTCCACGATCTCAAGGTCATCTTACTGGCCTAAAAGCCATACAGACATTGTTGAAGGTGGACTGAAAAACACACTTGTATTAAAGAAATATGTCATTTTTTTATTGAAAAAAAATCTGTTGTCATACATAATGTTGTTTAGAGTGAATGTTAAAGAAAACGTTCAATTTTCAATTAATTTTCAATTCAATTTTATTTATATAGCGCCAAATCACAACAGTTATCTCAGAGCGCTTTTCATAAAAGAGCAGGTCTAGACCATACTCTATGATGATATTTTCAGAAGACCAACAGTTCCCACCAAGAGCAGCACTAGGCAACAGAGGCAAGAAAAACTTCCTTTAAGAGACAGAAACCTCGAGCAGAACCATCACTTTTTAAAATTTTGTTTGGAAGTTTAATATACTCTTCTTTTGGTTGCTGCGTTTAGATTAAAGTTATGCTATTATACTCTTAGAGTATAATCATACTCTAAGACGTTTTTTGTGGAAAATGAACTTTTTTTTGTGCTTCACAACTATAATACTAACTTTTTAAATGTTTCCACATCCTTCTTGTATTAGTTATTTTTATAAACATTTATTCATCTTAATAAGGCACTGTTCCCACTTTAGTTTAGGTAGCTGCAAAGGTGCATTGTTAATGGTTAAAAGTGCATAATAAAGGATTTATTAAAGGATTTATTCATCTTAATAAGGCACCGTTCCCACTTTTGTTTAGGTAGCTGCAAAGGTGCATTGTTAATGGTTAATAAGTGCATAATAAAGGATTTATTAAAGGATTTATTCATTTTAAAAAGGCACTGTTCTTACTTTAGTTCAGGTAGCTGCAAAGAAGCATTGTTAATGGTTAATAAGTGCATAATAAAGGATTTATTAAAAGGATTTATTAATTTTAAAAAGGCACTGTTCCCACTTTAGTTTAGGTAGCTGCAAAGGAGCATTGTTAATGGTTAATAAGTGCATAATAAAGGATTTATTAATTTAAATAAGACACTGTTCCCACTTTAGTTTAGGTAGCTGCAAAGGTGCATTATTAATGGTT